TTTGTTCATTTTTGCTGAAAGACCACTATTGAAGGCAACTTTTATTCTTTTATTAAAAAGCGAAAAAAAAAGCGAAAAGCGGAAGAGTTGCGGAAAAAAGCTCAAATAGCGGAACTTTTCCGCAAAAAGCGGAAGAGGTGGCAACCCTGATACAAACGTTTTTGAATCCTCAGTAAATTCCGCAAACCGGTGATTATGACGATTTGACCTCCATTTTTTATTCAAGATAATTAAAATTGGTGCGCTCATCTCCAGTCAGCTGTTGTTAGCACAAAAGATAATAAAAACCTTCTATAGGACAGGATCAACTCTAAATGAAATCGTTTATCATTCTCATGTTAATTGGAATGCTATTGCTGCACATTGAGATCGCTTCGCACTGCGTTTATGAAGTTCTTTGGAAGTTTTCTTTTTCTTTTCTAAGTACTAGACAAACGCGTCAAAGTTACCATTTTTCGTCGCAATAGACTCGAAATTAGAGAATCAGAAAATAGGCAGATAGACGTTTTTCTATTGTCTTGTTCACGCATCGAAGAAGGTAATAGATTTATGGAAAATTTTTTTTCTGCATGAAACTCTTATATCTGAAATCAAAACCAACGGATGTTTCTTCAGCTCTATACCTTTGTTACGCTATAAATAGCAGAAATATAAAAGCTTATTGCAGCCCATGTCACAGTGTGGATATGTAGAGTGTGGTTGTGGATTTGGATGCAAGTGTGAGTGTGGGTGTATTTAATTCATACCCACATTCACATCCACATCTCCACATACTCACACCAACACCTCTCTTCCCATACCTACACATCCCACATTGAAAAAGTATATCAATCATTTCTTTGGATGATGTTATCAGTCGTTTACTCAATCCTTCATATGTAGACAAAAGTATTGCTGTTCTCCATTGGCAACGCACACATGTTTCTTTAGGTTTTTTTACTTTTTCTTTCATTTTTATCTTTGCGATTATTTCATTTTATCCATCACCAGCCCTATTGTGCATCGTTTTCGCTGTCTTTTTTTCCATTGCTCGTATTTTTCTGTGTATCTTTGGGATGAATTTGTATCGTTTAATGACAATATCAAGTTTCTTTATTTTCATATTTCTAATAGATGATATCGTTGCTGTTCTTAAAACGATATCAATTGAATATTTTCTATCAAATAAATAAGCCATCTGAAATGTAGAATCCACTATCATCATAGAAATTTTCTTTCCTATTATTCTCTTAATTTAGAAAGAAAAAGAACGATGGTCGAACACTATCACACAAAACCTCATTATCAAATAACCGATACAAAAAATGTCAACTTGTTAAATGAACGCGAAGCAGCTACATTCAATGTTGAAGAAATGACACAATTTATGTTCGGTGAACCAGGAAATTATTTTGAGATAAATACACGACGTCAACTCAGTTGAGAGTGATATCATTTGATTATCTATTATAATTTTTTTTCTGTATATAGTTCGTTGGGCCGTTTCTCATACAATACATCGCACACATTTACCACTTGAATATCTCGATGCTGATGAACACTATTCAGTTACTCTTCGCAGAAGTCTTTTGGCTATTCAAGAAGCAGACCGTTTGAATATTACCAATAACAAACATCGTCTATGGTTTTTTCATGTATTCACTAATAGTCATTTTCTATTTTATGTTCATACATCCATGTGTTTATATGCTCTTGAAACGTTGGGAAATGAAGAACAAATACAGCAATTTCTGCCACTTGCTCAATCTTTTCGTATCATTACAACTTATGCTCAAACAGAACTAGGTCATGGGACAGATCTAAGACGATTAGAAACGGAGGCTGTATTCGATCGTATGACTGATTCATTTGTACTTAATACACCTACGTTGACATCGACCAAATTTTGGCCAGGTGCATTAGGTAGAACAGCTAATTATATTCTTCTTATGGCTCAATTATACACACCTAATCGTGATCATCCATGTGGTTTGCAAATGTTCTTGGTACAAATTCGAGATTTGAATACGCATGAACCATTGCCAGGTTAAATGTTTGATTGTAAGTCCATTGATCATATACGGAACAACGTGTTTAGGTGTAGAATTAGGTGAGATAAGCACTCGATTTGCACATGCTGCTGGTGACAATGGTTATCTTCGATTAAGTAACTTACGTATTCCACGTACACAAATGCTCATGAAGTTGGCTCAGGTATGTCGTGTAGTTTCAGAAATAAAACTATATGGAATACGAAACTATGTGTTTCTCCTTTGAGTAGGTTGATGAACAAGGCAATTTTCATCATCGAGGCGATGCTCGTCTTTTATATAGTGCAATGATTCATATGCGTATTCATTTATGTTATACTTTTGCAGTTTCTCTTGCTCAAGCAGTTACTATTGCTATACGTTATTCAGCAGTTCGATTTCAAGGACAAAGTCCTAATGGGTATACTTTTTTTTACCATAGAATTCATTTTATTTGACTTTTTGACGCTGAATCAATGAAAAATATTTCAATCATAATCGAATTACTCTGCAACAGAATCAAAATTACAATCGATTTAGGAGATTTTTAGTCATTTTTTATGTCGGAAACCTCCTAAGTCGATTATGATTTTGGTTTCGTTGCACAATAATCCGATTAAAATTTAAACATTTTCCACAAAAAACGACATAGGAGTGAAATACAAATACTTAATTATCTGCTACAACAAGACAAATTAGTGCCATGCCTATCTACTGTTTATGCATTTCTCATTGCCTTCATGAAACTTGATACCTACTTCAATAAATTAAAAACAAATGACACCGTTTTTCTTGATCAATTACCAGAAGTGAGCGATATTATAGCTGACTTTTTAAATATTATTAAATATTTGTGGTATTTTGACAAGTTAGCTTCATGCACTTTCGTCGGGTTTAAAAGCATATACATCATCAGTAGGTGAACGATTTGCTCAAAGTGTGTCGTGGGGCTTGTGGTGGTCATGGTTTCTTGGTAGCGAGTGGAATAGTGGGAATTAAAAACTATTTTGATGCGGTGTGTAGCGCTGAAGGTGATAATGTTGTATTATTCCAGCAAACTGCGAGGTATGAGTAATAATCTGTGAAAGTCCACATAATATATGATTCATTTGTATAGATATCTTCTAAAAGTTATGCAACAAGTTGAAGAGCACAATGGTAAAAATATTGACTCGTCCATTGCTTATTTGCATTTGCCATTATGGTCTTCAACAACGATAATCAATCTTGATGATTATTGCCGTCTATTCGATAGCCGATCTCAATTGCAAGTATTTAAACTTAATTAGTCACTTTTTTCATTGTATCTACTGTAGACTGATCAAAGAGGCTTACATACACATGTTCGAATCATCATCATCTCCTTATAACACATTCATGAAAAATTCAATTCAATTAGTGCATATGGCTAAGGTAGAAGATCAACTACTCTTTTATTTGTTCAAAGTTTATTGATGTTCTATTTTCAGGCTCACATGGAAACATTTTTGATGAGAGCATTCTATGAACAGGTGGAGAAAGCTGCTCAACATCCATCAATTTCTACAGTTCTCGAACAACTCTGTTATGTATTTGCCATTCACACGCTACGCAATGAATCAGAGGATTTCATTCGAGTAAGTATATCAGTACAGGTATGTCTTTAGATCTTTGCTTGTATAATAGTTAAAACTGCTGTCAGCTAATCAAATATATGAATTGGAAAGTCGTATTTTGCCTGACATGTATACTCGACTCCGTCCAAATCTTGTCACTCTAGTCGATGCTTTTGATTTCCACGATCATGAACTCAGTGAGTATAACATAATGTATGGATTTAATGAGTACTTCTTTCTAACAGATTCTTGCCTGGGACGCTACGATGGACAAGTCTATGAATCTTTAATCGAACGTGCTCGACTCAATCCATCGAATCGACATAAAGTAAGTAGAAAGAGTTTCGAGATAGAAGATAAAGCTGCCTCATGTTTAAGGTTCACCCAATATGGTTATTGATGAAGCAAGGGACACCATCCAAACTTTAGATGCCAGTAAAATCTGTCTTTAACTATTACTTGATTCTTTTTTCTATGATTTTATTAGTAATTGCAAGAAAAAAATTTACATATAAAATATAATAAATATCATTATTTTATTTATTAGTGATAACCATATCGTTACTTCTTGCCGATGTAACCTTAGCCAAGATGATGACCGATTCAGCGATCTTCATCAATGTGCACTGCTCTACAGAATTGATTGACATTCTATGTAACAATAGAATTCGAGTGGGTCTGGACATTGCTTATCTGTTCATTCACACCTCACTCATACCTTTAAGCAAAAGTTTTTCTTCAGTTGAAATAAATAATTCAAAATAATGGTTAAACTAGGGTGTGAATGCGGTTGTGAGTCACGGTGCGCGTCAGGTAATCCACCACATTCACTCATACTCTAAGTCTCATACCCTAAGTAAATAGAGAAAAAGATTCGACAAAATAAAAAGAGCACTACGAGAAAAAAGTTGAAAAAAAAAGTTGATTTTTGACTGCATGCGTATATGTATACGTTGAATTTAAAGAAACAGCGATCGAGAGTTTTAACTCAACAACTTCCCAATGTATTATTGAATGTGGACATTAAAAGTTTGCGTCCATAATTCTTGCCGATAAATCGTTTAAAGTCTTTTAACATAAAAAAACATATTAAATACAAAACAGTATGAAAAAAATAATTTTTACTTTCAAAATCAAGTTTTCTAAATACTGTTAAATCGTCAATCATGCTTTGTATTTCAAAACTTGATTTTGATCGACCAATAGCAATAAGTAAATTTTCTATTTCTTGCTCATTTAAATAACTATTATCATCAGAACCTCAGTGTTGAAATGTTCGACGTAGTTGATAATCATTATATTGACCTGTAATAATCAGTGCTAATAATGCACAAAATTTTTCGCATGTTAACCGTCACGCCTCTTATTGAATGAAAAGAAAACAAGAAACTTTTATTTATGAAAAACAGAAATTTTTTGTCATACGTGGTAATCGAACAATATATCGTTCAAATGTATGTTTACTTATTTCCAGACGATAATGTGTATCTCCATGTCTACCATGCGATGTTTGTTGATAATTTCGACGATCACCACGTTCAAACCATTCTTACATAACTTCAGTTAAAATAAATATTATTTTAAAGGAAAAAATTTGTTTATCTAATACCTTTAACCATTTCACCATTAACGCGTTTTGTGTATTGAGCATATTGTTTAACAATGTCATCACGAATTTTACTATTAATTATTTGCATGATCTTCTGATCTTGTGTTTGATGGGGTATCATAGATAACATATAGATAGAATGGTTTTCTTTGTTCTGTATGTTTATGTATGACGAGATAAAGTCAGTTTGATAAGGAAAATTAAAAAGTTAATTTTACAAATCAGAAAGAATTTTTTTCTTTTATTTATTCTTGTTTTTCTATCAATGAAAAATGTAAAATAAAAAAAAGCGTCATATCCTCTAAAAAATCGTCTATCTGTTATCAAATCATTTTTATTTTATAACTACATCACAATGCCTTATAATGCATAAGACTGTCGTTTATAGTGAAGGTCATTTACACTTGCTGTAGAAGACAAGTTCATAATACTGTTAGTAAATCTTGACGTTCACTTAAGTACATTGAACTATATAGATATACGCAGATACATAAATATGAACTACATGCCGAGAACTTTTCTGGGTGTCGTTGAAATAATCATGGGTGGATGGTGATACTCCACTGAATAAGAATGTAGATCTGGTTGTGAGTCAAAGTGTGTGTCGAATAACCGAGCGCACTCACCTTCAATCAGACCCTCTTTTCTCCAAAAACACTCTTCTTTAGTTCTCTACAATTATTTTTGATAAGTTTTGAATTTACAGAAGATATAATTTCACAATAAATTTATGAATTTATGCTCATTATCAATCTCATTGTTCATCTAAGCGTTATATGACAAGCTTGATTTCTTAATCACAATCTGCTCTGAGACAGAAGCGAAACATTTCATAGAAACTCATCCTCAGAATTGTAATCAATTGATATATATTTGAGGATATTCAAGATACTTCATACAATTATATTCTGTTAGAAAAATTTAGATATGAGTGTGAATGTGGGTCTTCATTTCTTCAGCGCCCACATCCACACACCATCATCCCACTCTGATCGAGTGAATCTATATCTTGATTAACATGAGCCCATTAAACCTGATTGAAGTTCGATCGTAATAATCTTATTAACTCGTTTTCGTTTTCAAAAATAGACGATTAGAGATCAAATCAGTGGAGATCACGACGGAAAATTAATTCAGTTCGACAGATTAGAAAACTAACGAAGTTTTTTCACAATGGAGTTCATTTTTGGGGTTTTTGGATAAGATCTGTAAGTCACATCTCATCTTCAATATACAAATTATTCATACAAGGTTGCGTGAAATTATCACAAAGAAATTTATTTATGTTGTAATAAATTCAATTTTCTTGGTTTCTTCTTTCTGAAGTTTTAAGACTACATTCAGTGAGAGTTTCGTCTAAATCTGTAAAATTAGCTCAGAAATAAATAACTATAATGATTTTCTAAAGAGCCTTTTCTCCTGTATGTGAATGACCGAACTATTAAACTCGAAAAGCAAAGATAGGGAATTCAATGTCTTGTACAATAACTTTTTCGTTGCTTTTTACGTGCTATCACTCACATATTGTCCTCTTCAAGTTGGCGTAAGAAAAAGAGTACAAACGACACCGCGTTGTTTTTTCTTATTAGATCGATTAACAGAGAGCAGTGACACATATTCATTTCACTGTTTTTCTGTCGCAAGTAAGTTAAAAGAAATAGTCATGAAAAGTTTTTTTCTTATGGAGAAAACCTTTGAGGCTTGAGAACTTCCTACTCAGATATAGTCGGGACAAGAACTACTAGATTTTGTATCGTAAATAGTATACATCGCTGCAACTCAGAAAATATTTTAAAATAATATAGGACAGTTCATTTTGAGAACTTTAGTAAAATCTATAATCAAATCTTTGAGGTAGAGATATTAGGTGAATTCTCAAGAAAGCTGTTGAACAATGTTTCAATCACTGATAAATATGGCTATTCAAACTTCTTCAGCACAAACTATTTTTCTTCTAGATCGATAATTTTAATCTATTAATACGATCTCTTATTCTTTTTTTCGAGATATTAAATAAAGAAAATCTTTTCTGTATTATCTTTGTAGAAATGGCCACATCAAAAAGTTGTTTCAAGTGTAAGAAAGAAACAGGAGCTTACTTTTGTATTGGATGCGAAGCATATTTTTGCAAGAAAGATCACCAACATCAACAAGAAAAGTTGGACGGATTGCTGACCAAGCTCAACAACAAGTCATCAGACTCCTGAACTCAAAAAAAGTGGAAATAAAAGTTCAATTCGAGAAATTTTCTCAGGAGCTTATTCAACTAAAAGAAACTGAAAATTTTGTCGAGCATGACTTAGAGCGACTCGAACAAACAGTTCATCAGCTTGAACAAGAAGTGCAGCGACTAAGTCAAGTACCTGAAATCGAGCTGTATACTGGGCAAAGTAATCAAATTGCATGGGATACTCTGATTTATGTTGAAGAGAAACTTCTTTACATCAGGAAGCAAGAGCACCAACAACAAGTAAACGGTAAGCTCATCGGCAGATCATTCTTTTTTGCACATGAATACTCAGTTGTATAGTTTGTTTTACATGCGAAACGCTACAATTAGATCGAAAACTCTATAGTTTAGAGCAATCGTTTCGCAATAAAAATTTGTTTAGTCTTTAAATGATCACTTTCACAGATGAAATGTGTGGAACAGTCTTAAAAAGGGTGTGGGTGTGGGTGTGGACGTGAGTACTACTTCTCTCTGCACTGCATCCACACCCCACCTACACCCACACCCCACCTACACCCACACCCACACATCCATAACCCACACCCACGCCCACACAACACCCATCCAACACCCATAGTTACAGCAGCCCACACCCACACCCAAAATGTTTTTTTTCCAACTGATTTCTTGAATTTTTCTTTCGGTGTTTTCCTTGTTACATTGTTTGATTTACATGATTCAGAAAGAAAATTATATTTTTATTTGAATCCAGATATTAAATAAAATATAAATCTAATGCGACTCAATGAACTTCTATTTTTTTTCAAAAAAACCATCTATTGAGTATCTCTCCGTTATTGTTTGTCCAAAGTGAAAATATTATAAAAAATGAATTTATTTTCTTGTGTTTTATACTTCTTGATGGTAGAACAAGAAAAAAAGATGACTGGTTGCCTGGATCTTATTCTCCTCACTCTACACATCCACAACTCATCTATGAAACTTCTATCAGATGAAAAAACAATGAATTTATGAAAATGTATCTCTATGTGATAAAAAAGAAAAAGTATGATGTCCCATTTTATATGCGCCATCAATTATATTCTCTAATAAAACTCATTTCGTAAAAACTATGTGTTGGTCATCATTTTATTCTTATTGAGGAAGAATTCAATCGTGATAAGCAGGTGTGAAATCTTCAATAAAAAGTTCTTCAAATGGAGGTACAAAACTTTTCTCAAATAATCAATTATGGTAACCCTCAATTTGAATGGCCTCGAATTCTTTATGACATCAAAACATGTTTCACACAATGTCATATTCTATCTTTTTCATTCATATATATCGTGTTTACTCGTTAAAACAAGCCTGCTGTTGCCATCTTATTCAAATCGTCAATGCTTCTATGTTGGTTACAGCTGTGCAAATTTCTTTTTTTATTTCGCTATAAAAGAACAAAAACGTTCTTTCAATCATAATCGTTTCTATTGCAAATTTCGCACAGTAACGAGTTTTCTTTTCTAAAGTGATGATAACCGAAGAGAGTAATACAAACAATAGCAATAGCCAAAACTCGGCTGTTAAAGTTCAGTCAACAGTAGCAACACCGGCTGAAATTCAACAATTTACTGCTTATTTACTTCGTGTAGTTCCATTAGCTACTGATTTAAATTCGACAAATGAAATTGATCTATTCAAACGAGCTCTACAGGAAAAACCTACGGCTAGTGATGGAATACGACGATTTTTAAGTGATCCACAATGTGCCGTATTTTTTATTCGTATTATTCAACAAGGAAAAGGTAAAATATAAGAATCAATAAATTTTAATTATCAAATAAATTTTAGATGAAGAACAAGATGCTGTTGATAATACTGAATCAAATGGTACAAATTCAATTCAATTTGAATTTTCAACGGAAACAACATATGCTGCACAAAAAGGGATTAGGTAATTAATAGTCAGCATCATTCAATATTTTCACTTTTATCATCTTCACGTAACTTTAAACTACATAGTACCACTGGACATGTAAACTGTCGTTAATTTAGAAGAAAAAAAATTTAGAGTATTTTTGGAGTCGTAGTTTAAGAAGAAAGCATGACTCCTCACATCCAGAGAACTTTCGACATATGGATATAACTGATGTCGGAAGTATGTTCTAAGTATCTTTCTATTAATTTTTATACCGAGTGAAACCATCGTCAATTATTGCTCGAATATCATCAATTATATCTGTGTAAACAGTAGGTAAAGAACAATTTGAATGAGCAATATGGGTATCCTAAGATTTTACACAGTATTCTAAATATGTCTATGCATTAAAATAGAATATTTCATCTCAATAATACAGCTTTTAGAAAATTCGAGCGAAAAAAAAATCTATTCTTTATTTTTTTTATGTTCAAGTGTGGCATTAATCAAAGTGACACCAACAATTGATATGGAGAAAAAAATATCTCAACAAATTCATTTTGCAACATTTACAAATCGAGCACCAGCAGAAATATTTCGAACATTTCTTTCACAAGCAATGACACCTTATTTAAAAAGTTTTCTTCGTCAACAAAAAGAAAGGTTTTTTTACTTAAATAGTAAATATTTATTGTCTTGAATGAATTATTGTGTATTTTATAGAGATCGTGAAAAATCAATTGTTGTTCTTGAAGAAAAATTAAATGAATTAGAAGCAAATTTATTACAAATGAATCAAACAGTTAATATTCCAGATGTTAATCTTATTCCACATGCATCTATAAGTCAAGTACTTCGACAATGTCAAGAAAAAAATCAACGACCAAATGTTGATTTTTTTCGTGAAAAAGTTGAAGATTCGAATTTTCTTAATCAATTACAAGCAACTGTTAATCGATGGATAAGAGAAATTCAAAAGGTAGAAAAGATTTTGGTTTTTTTC